CAGTACCTGCCTGTCCGTCAGGATCTGGAAGTCCCACAGGATCTTAGCCCTGTTATTCTTCACAAACTTCTGTGGAATTTCCCACCTGGACCTGGGAGGGTCTAGCCCATACACTGTGCAGATGTTCCTGTACACAATGCCAGCTACTTGGTTGTGCCGTTCAGTGTATGCTATTCCTGCCTGCGTCTTACACCCTGTCACTATGTGTTGGACTGTCTCTGAGGCCCCTCTGCACAGTCTGCACCTTGGGTCCTGTCTTGTGTGGTAGAACCCTGCTTCGATTGATCTGGTGCTTAGTGCCTGTTCTTGTGCTGCTATGATCAGTACCTCAGTGTTGTCTTTTAGTCCAGCTCTTTCCAGCCACTGGTAGGATTTTCCAATGTCAGCCACCTCAGCTGTCTGTCGATGGTACATCCTATGCAGGGTCTTGTCTTGCCATGGCACTTCCTCTGCTTGCACATGGACAAGACAGGGTATATATTCATTCTCCCCAGAGTACTATTAACTTGACTACTTAATAAAAATCTTGTGCACAGAGGAATAATTTTCTACCACCATTACTTGTAATACTTAGCTTGTCAGTCAGGAATGTGCTACAACAACAGAAAAATATCGAGCATAAGCTAAAATATATTGTCAGACTATATATGTATTATAGGATAGTCAATATGGTTTGAAAGAGTTGGTTAGATAGACTAATTTAGACATCTAGTGTAGGTTGTTGTCAGAACAGCTGAATAATATTCAGCAAAATGATTTCAAACAGTGAACCATATGGAAGTTCAGTTTGCCAGCATCGTCAGGGCAGTTTAACCAAAAGAGAAACTTAATTCCACTTACTGCAAATACTGATAGGAAGAAGCGTGCTGTAGTTGCCAGTCAAATGGGTGGAACTAAACACACAGTTGCCACATAGGCTTGAAGAGACCAGAATTGGATCAGTTACAGAATAAATGAAACCAGAAAGATTCTAATATAGAAAAAGCAGTTCCCAAAGGGAAGGAAGAACAAGTCGATAATAGAAGAAGAATCAGGATGTAGTATACAGTAAGCTTAACTAGAATCAGGAGCAGTCTAAGCCAAAATGTGATTTGTTGTATGAAATAATTAGTAAGGAATTTATCAGACAAAAGGCCAAGCCGAACAAATGTTTTCCCTGAGCAGTAAATTAATGTGACATTCTCACAGCCAAAGTTGGGACCAGGATAAAGGTTTTCCTTATGCCAAAATGTGGTTTCTAAGCCAGAAATCATGACAGATCCCACTGTCTCTTGTCTGACTTCTGGAAAGTTCAGTAACTTGGAAAACAGGTAAACCCTTCAGAATCTTTCTGGTGGCAGGGGAAACATTCATTCCTTATCCTAGTAGGTAATTTGAGTTAAAGCTACACATATCTGTTCAAAAATAAATAATAGTCCGTAATTGCAACCTAACACCCTTCATCAAACTGTATAGTTGTGTCTAAATCATCTTTAAATTTAGTGGGCTTTTTTAATCTTTTGAGTACTTCAGACATAGTTTCTAACTGTTGATTTATTTGCCAAAAAAAGAAAGAAATCCCCCTTTTGCCTATAGTCACAGACTTTGCATGGACAAGTATAATGAAATATGGGACTCTTTTATACAAAATACAGTAAGTTAAAAATAATGACAGTTATATAAATGTATTGGAAATATATATGCATTTGAATAATATTTGCATTAGGTGTAGGTAGGTAGGTAACTATTTACTGTATAGTGGTATACTACATTAAGGTTTTTTTTTTTGTTCTTGTATTTTTGTCACTTTTTTGTAATACCACCTTTTAATGTTTTCTTCCTTCTTCTCATGTATTATTATTTTTGTGTTTTTTCTTTCTTATTAATTAAAAAGCTATACATACATACATACATACATACATAC